CTCACAGGTAGGTTTCTGAGCCTTGTGACAAATATTGTTTTCATTGACAATTCATGGTGGCCGTTTCGGTGCCGTTCTCAGCCTCTGTGCATTTCAATTGGGAAGAATCAGTCTCTTGGGATCTGATCATTGTGGGTGCCCCCAAAGAGCTTCTGGATCTTCAAAGAGGAGGGTCAGTTTCTTCCGTCCAGCCTTTTCCTCAGGCTGGTAGCCCGCAAACCTTTCCCCCTGGACCAGGCTGATAGCAGATGCACATGTATCTGGGGGGCTGGCAGTCTTGGACTGAAGTACCCCACCTTCTGGAAGAATTCTTTCCATTTAAAAATGTTACACATTGTGCACTGTTCTCTAACAGGTCCATTTCATATCAGTGTTATCCTCCACACAGTGTTATCCTCCTGCTAACCTTTAGGTAAACGTGGTGCTGCGGTGGTGCTCAAAGACAGGCAGTACTTTCCCCTGGCTCTGGGTGGGTGAGGGCAGGGCTGTGCCCTCAGGGAGGCTGGTGTGCACGCGAGAAGCCCTGCCTCACGCCCCGCTTCACATCTGCAGTTACGTGGTCTTTGAGTGTCACTGTAATTTCAGGTTTGATTGCTTTAGTTCTGTTCTTTGATGGATTGGCTCCTTTTGGGGTGAATGTCTGCTGATTTGTGAGTTGCCCTTGTAGAACTGTCAGCACTCCCCGCCTTTCCTTCCTACCAACCCCCTCATCTCCGCCGACAACCCCCTCATCTCCACCGACTCCCACACGAGACCTGCTGCCGCCTGGGGGACCGGGGACACTAACCCCTGCTCTGGGGCTCCTGGGGGAGGGGTCTTTGTCTTCAGTTTTAGGTAAGATCATATCCAGGTTGTGTGTGTTTTCTTTTGCTATTCTGTATGTTTTGTCTGCCTTTTATGATTTAACGAAACCATCCTGCTGCCATGCTTTTAGCATCGGAAATCCCAGTATCTTTCAAAACAAGAATGTTGCAGAAAATTTAGCTCTTCGTTTCTAGCATCCACACCATCTGTTTTTTCATTATTTCCGGTAGAACGGCAGCCTCTGAACGTGGGGATCTGGAGCGAAGCTGTCTGCTGCCAGCTGGTGTGCAGTTCTGGCAAAAAGGCTTGGTGTGTATGTCTCTGGTTCTGCATGATTTGGGTCTCAAACGAGATCGAGAAAAACTGACTCATCCTTCCTGTTTTAGGGGTTGATCTAGAGAGTTAAGCTCCTGCTGAGATGGTCCTGTGACATTGGTTTCTCTCTATAATGGGTCTCACGGACCGGCCACCTTTCCCAGAAACTGACCAACTAGCAGACCTCGTGCCAGGCAATGGCTTCGCAGAGAGGAACAGCAGGCGACAAGGCCCTGTGGTGGGCTGGAGCCTGGATGTCGGGAGCCGTGCTGAGGCCAGCGAGCTCAGAGAAGAGGAAGCCAGGTCCAAGGACAGTAAGAGATGAGGATGGAGGGGACAGGTCAGGTCATCTACAGTATGGGTCAGGACTTTGATTTTTGCCCTGAGAGAACTGGTATCCATTGAAAGTTTCTGAGTGGGGCAGCAGTGGGCTGATCTCCTGTTTTAAGCGGACCATGTTGGGATGAGCTGGACAGGAATGGAGGGCAGGAACAGAGCGATGAGTCAGGGGACATCCCCCAACAGCCCATTGATGCCGCCAAAAGCCCACTGACACCCCCCAGAACCTGCTGAATTGGTCAGGGAAACGAGCAGCAGTTAGTTACGGGCTGTTTCTGGTCTGTGATGGATCCTTCAAAAGCTGGATTCCAACTACCGGAGCCGAAAACGGCCAGAGCTCTTCACTGCTTACCC